TGCTTGCTTGTGACTGAGCTCCTGACTCATCCACTTGTTTACTCATTCCACTGTTAGAACCTGGCACAAGCTGCCTTCTAGGCCTGCCTGGCCTCCAGGCTTCCAGAACGCTGGTCTTGTGAGGCAATCAAAGGAGATAACAGAGGGACTCTTGGGGTGACAAGTGTTGTGAGAGACCAGAGGAGAAGAGGGATGGCTGGAGATATGGATGACTGGAGGTGTATTCCTCACAGTAATCTAACAGCCCTGTTTTGAGCATCTTCACATGGTGGACATTGTGCAATGTGCTTTGCACATTGTTATCAGCTTTGACTCTCAGAATCAGGCTCAGCAGTGAGTACTGATTTCTCCTCACCTTCCAGGGAAGGATACTGAGGCTCAGAGAGGTGAATTGTCCTCAGGCTTTGCAGCTGGTGGCTAGGATGGGGCGATCTGACCAGGCAATCTGACTCAGGGCAACTCTTAACCTGTTTTTGCCCCTGCAGCCCCCTGGATTATCCCTTGGCCCCTGCACCCTTAGCTTCCTTCCAAGATGAGCTGGACATGGACTCCAGTGAAGGCCCCAGCCCTAAGTCATCTCCAACTGACAGGGAGGAGCCGCGCTCTTGGCCACAGAGGCCACAAACTCCATGGGGCCTGCTGGACCCTTTCCATGCTGTAATCAATGACACCCCCACATTGGATGACACAGCTCCAGAGAAGCACTAACAGGATGCAGCCCAGCTCTAAATCTTGTAGTCATCTCTGAAGGCAAAGGAAAAGAGGAAGGATTCTGCAGATACAAGCCCCGATGAGCCTGAGGAGGAAGAGGAAGACTTGTACTATGGGCTGCCAGACATCCATGAAGAGCCCCTCCCGGATAAGGAGATGGGCTTCGAGCTTGACACTTGGGGATGAGGTGACTCTGCTCCACATTTCCAGCCTGGCAGCTCTGCTCACCCTAAGTGACCTGACAGGCCTCAGTTTCCCAATATGCCAAGTGAAACTGGATGGAGGGTCAAAGGAGACAGATGATGGGCTGGAGCATTCTGTGAACTATGAAGGAAGCTGTGGATGGGGATGACAACTCTTAAGGGACCATTGCTCTTCCAGCTTCTTCCTGCTTCCAGCTTCTCAAGATCCAGTGAGATTTGTTGAGATTTTCAGCAGCTGGATTCTCAGAAACCCTTTCCAGTCTCCCCCAAGATGGTCTCTGACAGGACCCCTCTGTGGTGCTACTCAGGGCCCTGGTCCTGAATGAAGGTTTCCTTCCTATTCAGTTTCAGTCCTCTGATGGGCAGTGTGATCCATCCCACTCAGAGCTGACTGCATTTCCTCCTGGTCCTGTTCTTCCTGGGTTTCCCATGATCCTCTAGTGATATGTATGATTGACCTCTGATGACTCTTGATTCGTGCCTACCCCCCCTTATGCTACAATATTCTATTATTCTGCTGCCCATGCCCTGGCCTAGCTGCCCTTCTCTCTCAAGATGCCATTTTCCTAGTGGTTGCAGGCCTGAAAGATAGATATCCCAGCTTCTTAGAATAAGGGATTCCTCACTTTTTGAGTCCCCATTTTGGCAGGCATGTTTCTCAGTATGGCTTTCCTCCTGCACCACTGGTGCCAAGGCCTGCCTTTGCTGCCTCCACAGCCCTGTTCATTCTTCCCTCCGCATCCACCTGTCACGTTTCCCCAGAACAGAGGCCTCTGTAGTGGCCATAGGGATGAAACAACACATAGGAGTGAAGATGGGGGGAGGGGACTAAAGCCATGTCTATGTCCTGAGAAATTGTCCAGATGGCTGCATTGACAAAGTGACCTTGCAGTCCCAAAGGACATGTAAGACTCATTGGAAAGGAAGAGTGCTAGAAGGGGCTGGGTATGAGGCTTTGTGGGAGAGTGCTTACCTAAAATGCATGAAGCCCTGGGTTCTAGTCCTTAGTACCACATAAACAGAAAAAGCCAGAAGTGGTGCTGTGGCTTAAGTAGTAGAGTGCTAGTTTTGAGCAAAAGAGGCTCAGGATAATGCCCAATCCCTGAGTTCAAGCCCAGGACTGGCAAGAAAGAGAGAGACAGAGAGAGAGACAAAGAGACAAAGACAGAGAGAAACAGAGAGCAAAGGAGAGAGAGAGAGAGAGAGAGTACATGGAGTAGAGACCATCATAACCTAGGCACAAATCTGCCAGGACTATCCTGGGCTATTCAGACAGAGAGGCTCCATCAGTGCGTGAATCTTTGGTACCTTTGCCGTGGACTGTGTCCTACTGTGACCTACTCTGGGCATCCAGGCTGTCCGGGAGGGATCTGCACTTCTCCCGGCTGGTGCTGGTGCTCTGGTCTGTCAGGTGAGGGCTAGCCCTGATCTTGTGACACACACAGCAGGAGGAGCTGGCTCAGCTGGGGGTCCCTGGCCCCCCTCCCCTGTGTGGCTGCCCCATCCCCTTACTACCCACGTGCCCCTGTGCGTTCTTCTCTTCTAGGAGCTCT